GTCATGCAGTTTGGGAGTATTTTGGGATTCAGCTTTGTCGCTGGAGGCCCAGGGAGCCTCAGAGGCTAGAAGCACCTTTTATCTGTTTTGACAAGGGAGACAGTTTTGACATGGCTGTTCCTGGGCTGGGAGAGCTTGGCCACAGTAGTTCAGGCATTGGTGACTTCAAGGTTGGATGCCTGCAGTGCAATGTGGGGCATTCCTTTCACCTGATCTGGAAGCTGCAGGTAGTGCAGAATGCTGCAGCACAGTTGCTGACAAGGGACAACAGATATAGTGCAAATAGTGGGCTCGAACACCGCCAACAGTGTGGATGGGGAAACATTGAGACAGATTTAAACTTGAAGTGCTCAAGTGTCTGTGAAAGTGCACAAAAGTATGCATGCAAAAATGGGATCTGTATGATTCACATGCACATTAATTCCATCTACACAGTCTACCAGCAAAGTGCCAGTGTGAAAGCTAGTTAGCCTGCTCCTATTTATGGCCATCCCAGAGCTGGGTCTGAATGCAAGAAGGTTGATGGTTCAGGTAGATGATCAGACAGATCTGGGGTGGTTTGCAAAGGGTGTTGGGCATCCAGCTTGCCATCTTTGTCTTTGAAAGAGCAAGCAAAGAGTCAAGGCACTCAGCTGCAATTAAGATGACACCCCCCCACACACACACACACCTGACTAGGCTGCTAAAGTTGTTGTTGCTGGCATCTGTCTGTTTTGAGAGACAATGGTGTGCGCCTCTGGGGGTGAAGTCAAACCGCTGTGTTAGCAGCACTGAAGTAACCTCCCCAAGGTACAAGCCTGAGCAGTGTGTAGAGGGCGGGGACTATGCTGACCAGGCAACAAGACCCCCCTCTTGGCTTCAGTGATGTAGTCCAAAGGAAAGCAGAGCAATACATTTGGCACCAGCTGAGCTGCAGGAGTTAGTGGAAGGAGGCATACAACTGTCTTAGGGACTCTACTCCATATTTGTGTAGGGCTTACTCCTTAATCTTTTCTCCTCCCAAAGATATCCCACAAGGCAGTGGAGGTTTGGACCAGAGTCTTTCAATTCCTAGATGCAGCGGTGTAGCGTGGGTTGTCAGCACCCGGGGCAAGGAAAGTAATTTGCGCCCCCTAACCCGTGGATTTGCGCCCCCTAACCTGTGGATTTGCGCCCCCTAACCCATGGATTTGCCCTAACCCCAGATGTTGCGCCCGGTGCAGCCGGCCCCCCCTGCACCCCCCACGCTACGCCACTGCCTAGATGGGTTATCTTTCCAGGTTGATGAGACCCATCTGCCCCTCACTTCCCTCTGCAGCATGTGCAGAAGCCGCCTTCTTGATCATTGGACCCACTATTGATCTGTCCACTCAATCCTCTGGGGAAGTCCCTAACTCCCTGAGGCCTAGCCAGCCAATCAAAGCCTTTCCCAGGGTGTAGTCACTGTCTGGTGCTGACAGCTTCCAGGGTTTATGTGAAAGTGTGTAGTTGCATCCATTTAAATACCTGGGTAGTGTTAAATGAGATTATTCTGAGTCCCAACCCATATTATATCCATTTGTTGCAGTAATTTAAACCCTTTGGCTATGAATCCACAATGGCAGAGTCCTGGGAGTAGTCACTAATCTAAGCTGCTACATCTATGGAATGCTGAGTGAAAGCTGAAGGTCATCTTGTCCAGCCAGATTTTATGAATCTCAATACTCCCAACTATTAGTATCATTCAGACCACAGTATGTGAAAAGCAAAGATAATAGACCAGAGTGCATCGTGCCAGCTGTGTTTGTATGATCAAGTGAACTTGCATAAAACGAAATGTTCTTCTTTTCAGAGGAGGGGGAACAGATTTCATCTCCCCATGAAAATTACTCTTATGCATGCTCGGCTCAGCCCTTCTGAAAAATCATGGCAATATTATCGCAGCAAAACTAATTCTTATACTCAATTTCATTTCCATTTATTCATCTGACTTCCTGGCTGTAACAAGCTGACTGCAACCAATCCATCCAGAAATTTCAGGGTATGTTCTGGGATAGAAACAGCTTGAGGAGAGTTGGGTCCAAAAGGCCCAACCATATGATTCTATGATTCTATGATTCTATGTCTACTCAGAGGTGCCCTACTGAATTCTGTGGGGCTTGCTCCCAGGGTGGTGGGGTTTTGATTGCAGCCATAGTAGAGAGCAGGAAAGTGGCCAACTTTTAGCATACAGGCTCAGCTGAAGGACTTCAGTTCTTCAGAACTTCTGCTTTCCAACATTTTGGCTGTCATGGATTATTTCTCTCAATATTGGAGCTTCCACATAATCTTCTTCCTGTTTACAGACTGGGCAAATCAAATGAGGCACAGATAGGCTTAGTCTTTCCTCAAGGTCAGACTGTAAGCCAGCAGCAAGATTTGAGCCAGAATGCAGCAAGCTTCAGGTGGCTTTGTATTTTAATATTGAAGCCGGGCACCTTGTCTGATTACTATCAAAGGGACTATATTATGATCTATTTATTAGACATCCTTCAATCTCTGAGGGAAAAGAGGAAAGAACAGATAATGATGCTCCTACCTGGATATATTTGGTTTCAGCATGCTGTTTGGCCTGTCACAATTCCTGCTATTTCTTGCTCTCTCTCACTCCACAAACATCGTGCTTATCTGATCTCCCCTCATACATGCAGCTCAACAGCTTCAAATCTAATTACACAGGTTCCCTGCCCAGAGCTTTCCCCAGCACCTTTTCCAGTCTTATGAGTGCACTGACCCATTCTGAATTCAGAGATGTGAAAGGTTTCACAAGGCGTGATGAGTAGCGGTGCATGCATGTCAGAGAGCGGGTACATCACACTTTGTTGGGAGAGGCACAGCACTTGAACTGGGGTCGTGGCACTGTTTCTTGTTTGCACCACCCTCAACAGCCTGGGGCCACATAGGGCAGCTGCTTTCAAACAACGGCCAAAAAAAAAAGACGAAGAAGGAGCTTGTTCCTGTTCAGATCTGAAAATCCCCCAGGCCCTCTGCAGAAATGAGCACAAAGCTGACACAAGTTTATAAGGGTCATGCTTCAAAGTGACTACCTGTGCCCTGCTGATGGGGTTTCACACTGCCATGACATCACTCAGTGCAGTCGCAGATTAAATTCATCCCAAGGATTTAAGCATGTTTCTCCATCCTGTACCACAGGGTGGGTGGGGAAACATGGAATTCTCCCAGGAAATCCCTGAACTGAAAGTTGTAACAGTCATTTTCAATTTGCTATATACCATATTTATTCGGATAGTGTTCTCGAAGCTACCAGCGTGAGTTTGACCAAACTGCGGGAGGCAGTGGAAGACAGGAGTGCCTGGCGTGCTCTGGTCCATGGGGTCACAAAGAGTCGGGCACGACTAAACGACTAAACAACAACAACAAATATTTATTCAAATCTAATGCTCCCCCTTTTTGGCCAAATTACGTTGCAAAAATTAAGGTGTGCATTAGATTCAATGGCACATTTACATTCGCCAGCAAATAGTTTTCTTGGTTTCAAGGTTCTGAAAATTGAGGCGTGCATTAGATTCAATGGCGCATTAGACTTGAGCAAATACAGTATATTGATTCCCTTAGGGATTCCTCTTGTTCAATACTGATCCACTTTCAAATCAGGCATTAAATAAATGCGCCAGCCACTCTAGCTTGCTGCTTACATTACAGAATTGAAGCTCCAGTCGATATACATCTAGCGGCAAATTTTAAAAATAAAAACAGCCCTGCCATTGTTTTGCATTGTCTTCTACAGCTACTGTTGCCCAGTATCAATCACCTGCAATCATTCAATGTTTCTAATCCCATACTAACTCATTTTTGCACAATTCCAACAGCTTCCACATTCAGCAGAAGCTCAGATAGTCTCCTGCTGCAAAGCCATCCTGCTGTTAGTTGCTGAGAACCCCACCACACCTAACGGCTATACCAACAATCTAGCAGCAAGCTAACATTCTGTGCAAAACAGCAGCAAATTGTTCAGCTATTTGTGTGATGCTGCTTTTTCAAACTAACAACAATGACGCTTCCTGCAGCCATCTTTGGTTTCAAAGAATGATAATCATGAACAAATAGTAGCTATGAGATCACTAACCTCCATTCCTTGTTCCTAACCTGTACCATCTTTAAGTACTATCCAGCAATGAGTCACAATCGGTGTTAATTATGTGCATATCACAAAGTCACCAGGCAGTCTTGCCTTCTACACCAAACTTTAGGCACTCCTCATCTTCTGAAGTGTAATCTTAGCTCAGTGTTTCCCAACCTTGGGCCTCCAGCTGTTTTTGAACTACAATTCCCATCATCCCTGACCACTGGTCTTGCTAGCTAGGGATGATGGGAGTTGTAGTCCAAAAACAGCTGGAGGCCCAAGGTTGGGAAACACTGTCTTAGCTCACCCTCATGCCTCTCATAGAAGCAGCAGCTTCTTGGATCAGTACCTGGGTGTAGTACATGGAATCACTACTTAATGCAGAGGTGAGGTGATGTTAGGTGAGATATCCACATCGCTGTCTTTCCATGTTAGACACCCACAATTTCAGGAGAAGGCTAACTTCATAATGTTGGTCTATTTTGAAGTTCATATTCATGTGGTTTATGGATAAATTGATGCCTCTGGAGGCAGATGAAGTTGCTGTTCTATGCAAAAAAAAGAGGCCATAATGGCAACCTTGCTTTGTCTCCAGGATATTTGCACATTTAGACACTCCAAGGGCACAGTTTTGTGAAGCCCTTCCTACACAGTATCATGGTGATTCATCTGCTTCCAGTGCTCTCTCTCGCCTCTGAATTGTACCCAGAAAGCCTGAGGATTTAATGCTTTGTACAGCAGATAGATATTAAAAATCTCTTTTCATTGTAGTGCTACGATGCTGTTTTTCTCGCCAGTTTCATTTCTTATGCTCTGTTCTTCTTTTTCTCTTTTCTGTCCGTCTGTCGTTTTTCAACCTGCCTACTGCTCACTGAACCTGGGGCCTCATCGCTCCCCTGGCTGGATCCCCTCTGGACAGGGAAGGCCGCATGGTGGTGTTGTCCCTTGTTTTGGGGCTTTCAGAACAGGACGACTTTGCCAATATACCTGATCTTCAAACCACTGGAAACCAACAGAACCAGAACTCTCAGGGGGACAAGAGGTATGAGTAGGAGACAGGGGCTTTCGGCAAGAGGAAAGAAAGCCTCACGAGGGGCTGTCCTTCATGAGAGTTGGAAAGCTGGTGCAGGAAATCAAGGAAGCTCCAGCGTTGGGCCTGGTGCAACATCTAAGCCAGTCTAGCAATACTCTTACCTCCTGCTTGGAACCTCATTTCCTCCCTGATGGTCATCTCCCTTTGGGGAAAAATGGCAATTCCTTTCACAAGCGCGTACTCTGGTGGGAATGTATCCCCATATAAACCCTCTCCATTTTACATCTCTTCAGCTCCATCCAGTTCCTTCTCTCTTCCCTGTCCAGTCCAATAGTAAGTGTGTGAGGAGTGTGCAGGGATGGGCCAATACATTTTGCTCCCTGAGGCAAATAGTATCCAACCCGCCCCCACCAAGCTAAAGTGGTGAGTGGCACCCAAAGCAGATGATTCCACAAGCACCTCTCTGCCTTCCTGGCAGTAAAAAGACAATAATAATAAATTAAGGGTGGTGGTCAAGTGGCCCCATTGCAATTAATGGACCTAGCTTAGTCATGTTAATTAATTTCATGATTGCAAACAAAAACCATGTGTAGAATATATCACTGCTGCTGTCAGGTACATAGGATATTTGCCCTGGACTCCATGGCTATCAATATTGTGACTGGGCCCTTTTGGCAGGTCTGGAATTTAGCATTAGGAAGACTAATACATCGGGGACCTTGATCATAATACGGCCTATCCCAAACTACCTGGGTGCAGCACATCCTTCTCCTGAAGATGCAATAGGCACACTAACACTCCTAATTCAGAGCTACCCTCAGGACATGCAGGTGAAGCAAGAATAGTCTCTCCTTCCTTGTTTCCCCCTTCCCATACACTCCCTCACTTGACTAATGGGATCTAACAGGGTCATATTGTGTGACTTACAAAATAGGTTCTCAGAGAGGAAGTGCCTAGCTAGAAGCAGAGGCCTCAAACACTTCCACGTGTACGTTAAATTCCATCTTTTAAGGAGAGGAGGTGCGAAGGAGCAGATTTCACATGATCAGTGCATTAATTAACTGGCACCGTTCTCGCCTGCTGACTATTTTTACCTTGCTGAGGCTATATTTCACTACATATTTTAGCACTTTCCATTTGATCATCCAATTGCATAGTTGATCCTTGCTTTTTCAGCCTGCAATTTTAAGTAGTAGCAGGTGAATAGAGTCCTATTAGGCCATAACAATTCGGGGGGAGAGGAAGTACCTTCTACTGGCACATGCCCATTCTGTGCACATCCCATCTGGGAAAACCCTCTACCTCCTACATAATCAGGCCACCACCCCAGTCCCAGCTTGATGAGAACATTCTCCCTTGTAACCAGCTTCAGTAATAAGAAACCTACATGTGTTTATTGCATCCATCACACAATGATTCCCATAATTTCAAGACAAGAAGGAGTTGGGCACATGGCCACTGTATGTGTAAGAGATGTTTTGCAGGGATTGGCTCTGAAGAGCCTTTTCCATTTCACATTGTTAGTCTGGAGGGAATCCCACGGAGAAAGAGCTGTGCTTTTGTAAACTTCTTTCATGGTTAATATGAGGAAATGAAGGCTCTCCAGTTTGCCCAAAGCAGGGGGTTTAGATTCTTCTCACTTTTGAAAGCTGTGGCCCTCACTGTATATCATTTTCTGGGCCTTTAACTGGCACCAATGGAAGGCTCTTTTCAAACCTAATTAACTTAATTTGAGACGGGGTTATAAGGGGCACTGCAGTCCAAAGGATGTTGAGGCAGCTGCAAGCCACCCTTCCACACAAAAAACATTCCCTGTGCAACTGTTGAGATTAGGAGACTCTCCCATTGACACCAAAGGAGTGGCGGGAGGTTGCGATGGGCCAGATGGAGAGGCTCCCAGCTCACATCTGACCCCTGGACTACCAGCTCCCCACTCCTGCTTTAGTACGGGCATACAACGATTGTCTTCCTAGACTTCCAAGCTTCTATTAACTTCTTTACAGTTACACTGTGGGAGTAGAAAACTCAGAGCTCATACTGAAATTATTATTATCATAATCTTGCACATAGGGCTGTCACATAACCCTCCAACATTCCCCTGATGAAAATAGGGACCACACATCTTTTGGTGCCACACAAGTCAGGTGGCTCATGTGAGAGCACAGCACCAAAAGGCATTTTTGGGTGTTGTGTTCTGACTTGCGTGAGAGCGCGGCACCACTGCAAATGCCAGCACCAGCTCATCTCTGGGACATTCTGGAATCAAATCAGAAGCCAGGATGGCTTTTGTAATTCCAGGAATGTTACCGGAAAATAGGGACGATTAGAGGGTATGTTGTCAGTTTAATCTGGAATGTGTCCTTGTGTTGTGTCTGAACAAATAACTTAATGGAGAAATTCTGATGCCATAAGCCCGGTCAGACAAGGAAACCTAAACCTAATCCCAAATGTTGTGCAGGATCTCATGCAGGATAGCAGACTCAATGGAGATGTAAGGAGATATGAACTGTTCATTTGTCTGTGTCTCAGGAACTCAGCATCTCTCAGAGCTTCCTGTCTTCAGTTCCTGTATCTGATATTTTAAAAAAAACACAACTTTCTGAATCAGAAGAAGTCATGGTTACCACCTGCCTTTCTTGTTTTCCTGTGAGGCCCTTGATACTTTACTGAGATTCAGGAAAACAACTTCCCACGTATTAGTTTGGTCCCCCATCTCCTTGGTAATGCATTCAGCTCTGATCGCAAGCTGCTCCACTGGTCACACCATTCCTTTCCAAACCACTGCTCCCCCTCTCTCTGGAGGCTGACAGTGTGGGAAAGAGTGATGTGATCAGCATACCCATCTATGATCAGAGCCTAATGCATTACTAAAGCCTCCTGCGATGGAGCAGTGGGGATCTTGGCAGCTACCACCAGACTCAGTAATGTCTGAATTGGACATCTGTCTCAAGCTCTGTCTTTCAACCTGTTCCCCTCCCTGCCGTCCTTGTGGAATCTTGCCTCTGCTTCTTCCTCTCCACCTGTGGTCACCTTCTCCCTTGCTTCCTCTGCACACTCGCCATACTGCTTCTTTGTTTCCCTACGCCTCTCTTCCACATTCTCTTGCCTCTGTTTATTTACCTGCCTGCCCCCCACCCACCTTTTCTGCCTGCCTGGCCTATGGAATGTTGATGATTGTACAATGATTGCAGAGGGGCTTGTGATGCAGTCTTTGGGGGCTTGCTGTGAGGGAGGGAGGGGTTGTTCTGGTTGCATTGAAATCCCTTTTACCTCAGTCTCTCCTCTCCTCAGCAGTGATCACACGATGTTCTGCCATCCCATACCCCAATGTAATATATCCTCACCCTCATCCTCCTTGCACTTTCTCCTCTTCCTTCTTCTAGCCTTGCTGCTCTTGTTGCTGCCTGAACTTTCCCCCTTGTCAACCTCGGCAGCTCCAGTCCAGTGCCTTGTTCTCTGTGTGTGGTGGCTGTTCCTCCTCTACGAATCTTTGTGGTTTGTGTGTGTGGATGTGTGTGTGTGTGTGCATATGGGTGTGTGTTTCTCTCCTGCTACACTTTTCTCCACCCTCTTTCTGTTCCAGCAGGAGGCATCCTGCAGATCCTGGGATGAAAGGCACCCTCTCTTCTTTCTTTCTTTCTTTCTTTCTTTCTTTCTTTCTTTCTTTCTTTCTTTCTTTCTTTCTTTCTTTCTTTCTCTCTCTCTCTCTCTCTCTCTCTTCTCTATCTCTCTCCCTATCCTGTGACTTCTGCAGCACTCACCAACTCCCAGACAGCCTTGCAGCTGATCCAGTGCTCTGGGGTTGCAAAAATAACTCTGGATTTGTCATACCTTCTGACAGTCAATCACACACATACACACACACATTTGCTCTCACTTTATTTTTAACTTTTCTTTTCTTTTCTTTTTTTTGGTCTCCAGCTATTCTGGTCTCCTTTATCTGTGCATGCATGTACTAGTCTGTATGTCAGTGTACACCCAGCATCTTTGTATGTGTCAGTCTGCCTCAGGGTGTAATCTTTATATCTAGAATTTCCCACCCGAGAGTCTGTCCCTATGCATGAGCCTGATGCTTGTTGATCTATTTATGTGTATTGCTGTATTTATTGATGGGTATCAGTGTGTTTGGATCTTGTGTGTGATGTGTCTGCATGTCAGCGTGCCTGGAGATGCGCATGTAATGAGCCATTACATAAGTCCATTGGCATATGCTCGTCTCTCTCTTTGTGGTTATTATAGCATCTTTGTGACATGTCAAGAGGCTATCTGTATATAATCAATGTCTTTGGGTTTTCCATCTTGGTCAGCATCTCCTTCATATTATTTGTCTGCCTCTGAACAATGCGTGTCTGCATTTTTCTTAGGCTTTCCTCCTCCCCCTGCCCCCACATCCTATAGAAAACCTGTGTGAATAAGGTCCAGCTGATCAAACTTAATCCAGAAACTGTCCATTATTGGCAGGTGTCATTCTTATCGTGGAGGGCTCCTCTCTGCATCTTAGGAAACCTTCATTTTTCAGAGTTCATTCCTGAATGCATGCTGAGAGCCCTCCACATGTGCAGTTAAGCTCAGTGAGAGAGCCCTTGCTTTGCATACGAAAGCTTCCAGGCTCACTCAATCCCTGGCAGCTAGCTCCAGTTCAAAGAGTCAGGAGGCAGGTGATGAGAAGAAGTCTTCTGCCTGAGGCCCTAGAGAGCCACTGCCAGTCAGATTAAGCAGTGCTGGGAGAGATGGACGAGTAGTCTGATGTGGTATAAGTCAGCTTTCTATGTCTTTTCAATTTTCAACATGAATGTGCATAGACTGAGAGAGGAGTCTGTCACCACAGTGCTGTGCACGCATGTGCACGCACACGCACACATATGCACGCACGCACGGAGAAGGCTAGAACGACAAGCTTATGGGCAATTCTTTTTTCTTTAGGCCTTTTCATTAGTTACATTGCTGCATGGGGTGGGGAGTGAGTCAGTGTGCTGATTTCCTATCCTTTCCTCAACAATAGCTTGACCCATCACTACCCCTGGGCTTTATGACGGAGTGAGGATTTGACTCTGGCTCTCCCACGTTCAACCCCAAAATTCTCACGGCTACGGTGTAAACAAACTTGCTCTACCTCCAGCAACCTACAGGCAGTGGTGGAGGAAGGGGGGGTGCGGGGGATGTGGTCCACCCCAGGTGTCATCACTGGGGGGGTGGGGGTGACAAAATGAGTTTTTTTAAAAAATTGAGCTTACGAAACTTTTTAGGAGTGACGTGGTGGTTTAGGTGTCTGCAGGTTCTGCACTGCCTGAAACGGCAGCGTGGGACTTGTGTCTGCCTACTGCCTCTTCCTCAGCCACCCTACAACTGAGAGGGAGACGTCGGAGAGGCTCGCCACACCCCCATGTGCGGATTGCCACACCCCCATGGGCAGCTCGCCACGACCCCACGGGCAGGAATCGCCCCACCCCCAGCTGTAGGACACCCCCACACACCAGGCACCCAAGCAGCTGGTTACGCCGCTGCCTACAGGAGCTCTGTTCACACCAGGATGCACATGAACCACCTCCCACTATGACAATCGTCACTCTGTCATGGAATTTGCACAGAGCTACATTGAAAGAGCAGGTTTCTGAGCCCAAATACTTGCACCACAGCCCACCAGCTGTTCAAGCTAGTAACAAACACACCGCCCAACCACTCATCATGCTCAATTGCATATTCTAAGCAAAGTACATTCTGTCGGTGTTTCTGGGCTCAGCATCTTCTTCATTTAGACAATTTTGACTACATCCAGAAAATGGCAAATTTCCAGCTTCCCATGCCTGCACCCTCAGTACATGTAACATGGAGTTGTCCCTTTATTATCTGCATTTTCCTTGAACCCATCCAAGCAGGTGGTATACACACTCTCTTCTGTATCTTTATATTTCAGTGTGTGGGCCTTTCTATGCCTGCGTTGTGTGTCCAGCAGTCTATAATTTTGGCCAGCTGTCTCCTTGTGCATCCATTGCAATATCCTTTCCTTGGACAAGGAGCAAGTTTATGTCTCTCCTCCTATATGTGCCCTTTCCAGCCTTCTGCTTAATGGCAGCTCCTCTCTCTTCCTCCTGGCTCATGTCTTTCTCTTGGCTTCCTGTAGAGCTCCACCTCCTTACCCTAGGTGTAGCAATTTGCCTGCCCTGGATAATTTGAGCTCCCACATTCTTGTGAGTGCTGCAAACACCGACACAGGGAGATCATTGATTTGTTTGTGACTGTGTCATAAGTGTCAGTTGACACGATGAGACCACTGAAGCAGCCCATATCATCCTTTGATCTTCTGGAGAGCTTGCAACAGCCTTCCTGAAAAATGAGGGGAGGGGCATAAAATCAGGCGTGTTTTGAATGCAGCCATGGAGCTAGGAGTGGAATGTTTTGCTCACAGGACCCTGGAAGAGGGCACATTTGTATGTGTATGCAATAAGACAGTTGCTTCCTTAATCACATTGCTTATTTGTAGCAATGCTGCTGTGGGAACAAAATGGAAACCAATCAATGGAGGGGATTTCCAAGGGTGCTACCACTTATCAGTTTCCCTCTGCGTGGTAAATAAAAGTAATTTGAAAAGCAGCTGCCACGTTATGCCCAATATGAAATGGCACCGGGAGGCATAATTGATGACTAGCCAAAACAGCATTGCCCAAACCTATCTGGCAAAAGATGAGGTGTTACGGAGTTAATTAACTGTTGCCAAGTTTTGAACTAAAGACATAACCTGACCCAGGCAGAGTGCCCCAATTCTGCTCTTTCCCTGGGCCCTTGTGAGACATCCCGTCGACACCCAGTGCTCAGGTTTCTTGGGAACTCTGCATACACTGAGGCTGGCAGAGAAACCATCTGGCCGTACGTCATTTCAGAAATTGCCTGTCAAGGAAAGCAAACAAAGGTGGTTGCCTCTTTGTGAAAGGGAATGTTTGTATTTGGAGAAGGTTAATGGACTGGAGAGGCAGGAAGAGAGTTTGCAAGAAGTACCAGCACAGACCAACCTACAAGCCATGAAGCTTCAGTATGCCCTTTCCAGCTCAATCCCATATGTATTGACACAGCACAGAAATGGTATTTAAATACTCAGAAGGAGAAAGACATGTAGTTCCATATGGGGTCTTTTGGTGGTGGGGAGATGGTCCATCCAAATGGAAGGTGTGGGTGTGTGTGATAATCTTAAATCCAGAACCAGGAAAGACCCTGAGCGAGGATGAAGTGATATGGTGGGTGTTTTATTTATTCATAGAGTGTGACATAGAAAAGGGACAGACCCATCTCCTCACAGGGTTAACAACTTAAATGTCAATGAAGGACAGGGAGAGAGGAGAGAAGGGACAGAAGAAGAGAAGGTTGCTGAGTCCAAAGGCTCGAAATAAACATTGAAAAAGCAAGTACGTAAAGCTGGTTTGGGATTCCACAGGTTTAAGTTGTAGGGGGAATCACAGAAATGAGATGGGTTATCAGAGCAGTACTGGAGGTTTAGCCCTCAGTTCTCTAGTTCTGCCATGAGCTATGTTTTTCCTCCTTGTCTTGAATCCTGTATTTCTGTTGTCTCCAAAGCGTATGCCTAATGTGCTTCTCCTATCTCTCCCAGGTTGCCCTCTGGTGGCAAAGCGGTAAACACAGCTCCTGTGCCAGGACAGACACAACACGAGGAGCCTGACCATAAAACAGAGCCTCGCTCATCCGTCTCAGACCTCGTAAACTCCCTGACCAGTGAGATGCTGATGGTGAGTGCTGTCAGGGTTGCTCAGTATAATAATAATTCACAGTATATATTCCCATAAAGTCTGGAGGAAGCAAGGTCTTTATTCTGGATTAGGCACATCTGACCATATTCCTTTTGTGCTTCAGAAGTGTTCTCTCTCTCTCTCTCTCTCTCTCTCTCTCTCTCTCTCTCTCTCCACACACACACACACGGCAGGAAGATTCAACTAACAAGTCCCACTAGCCTGCACAAGGACTTCTGCTAGTGCAATGCCCCCCCCACTTTCCTCCCCTGCACCCCATCCCAAAATTGGCTTGGGGGTCAGGAGAACCCCCAGAACGGTGCACAAGAGGGAAGGAGGGGATCATTCTGTCTAGCAAACTGAAAAGCATGCACTGACAGAATGATTGTCGTAGTGCTTCGCTGAATTCCTCCCACTGTGTGTATGTGTGTGTTCTAAATGAATTCAGCCTCCACTTCCAGAACAGTGAGGCCGAGACTTAAATCCAGTCTTAAGTTCTTGTCCTACCCTACACAGATGACTCTGGAATTGGAACTACTTGCTGGTTTATTTGCAACATTTTTATACCATCTGACTGTTGTACAATTTTTAAAAACACATAAAAACACAACATTCAAAAGAGCCAGTGTGGAATAGTGGTTAGAGTATTGGAGTGTAGGGCCTAGGGACCAGGGTTTAAACCCCAATTCAGCCATAAAGGTTACTGGGTGACCTTGGGCCAGTCACCGCCTCTCCACTGTTGCCAAAAAACTGCAATGTAGATGCCAGGCAAGCCTCTCTGGGAAAGGCATTGTGCAACCAAAGTGCCATCCTGGTGTTGATTCAGAAAAAGACCCTCTCCCTAGTGGTCATCCATCTCACTTTATTTGGGAGAGTACCTGAAGAAGAGCCTCTGAAGATGCTTTTAGGATCCAGGCAGGTATATCTGAGAGGAGATGATCCTTCAGGTAACCTGGCTCCAAGCCATCGAGGTCATTAAATGTTAATACTGGCACTTTCAAGTTGACCCAGAAAAAGCCTGGCAGCCAGTGCAGATGGCAAAGCACTGGTGTAGTAGGAACATATTGGCCAGTCCCTGTTAACAATCTTGCTTCCCTATTGTGGAACGCCTCAAGTTTTTAGTCTGTTTTGTAAGAGAGCCTCAGGTAGAATGCATCACAGTAATCTAAGCAAGAAGTTACTGGAGTGTGAATAAGTGCAGCTAGGCTATTTGAGTTTCAGGCCCAAAGTGCATGAGAAGCAGGAGATCCGTGATTGGATCACCCTTTGTTGTTTATTACCCTTAAACTGCTGTTGGGGTTCCAAATTTGACTGGGGAAGCAGCACAGGGCAAAATATTATGCCTTTCTCCTCAAACCATTTCCCACAACTTAAACCTCACCGCCGAAGCTGCCGTTAGCTCTGCTGAATAGGGGGCATACACTCCGATGAAACACAGACGCTATCTATGAGAAGGGTCTCCCAGCTTTGTGTCCGAACCCTCCCAGCACCAGCCATTCTGTTTTCATCCAGGGTTACCCAATATTTTAATTTCCTAGATTTGGGGGCTCCCACTGCTTTGCATCACCATGAGCTGAGCAGGTTCTTATGTTTGCCCTGTTCAAAAATAATAAAAATTAAAAACCCCTCTCTTGAACTCTTCACTGTATCCTTATTGATTTATTCGGGGGTGGGGATAATGAAACAAGGTTTCCAGGGTTATACAACGTTCAGACAGATGTGTTTGCATAGGGGATAAAAGCAGTGGAGTGACTAGCAATCCAAATTTAAATCTGTTTTGAACATTGCTAGCTGTGCGTCAGGTCCATTATTGAAATTTGTGGTCAATAAGCTGCTATATTTCAAACATATTAAGGTGAGTTCATGTATTGATTTTCAACAAAGAAAAAGCCTGTTACCTTCCTGCTTGTTTTTCATTTATATATACTTCCCTAACGTAAGAGGCAATGATCTATTATCAACTGTTCCATAATGATATACTTTATGCATTCAGGTGACCAAATGATAGCTACAATTATTGCACTTGGCCTCTCTATTACACCCCTCTTTTGGCCTGAAAGGTCAAAGAAAAATTCACTCTGGATTGCTACAAATGGTCTTTTAGTGACTTTGTCATCATTTTAAGAACTCTGCAGAGAAAAGTAAGACTGGCAAGTTTTTGGAAGGAATCATTTCACATGTTATTAAGCCACCATAGCAGCTATTTTTCTCCTTCTCTAGACACCCTTGTGTGTGGTAGGACTCCGAAGCTAGTGTGGAATACTCTTAGTTGAAAGATTTGTAAATGGAAGAGACAGGGTTCAAACTTGTGATCACCCATGAAGCTTACTGGGACAGGCAAAGTCCCTGTTTTTTTCAGCCTAACCTGCTTCACTAGCTTGCTGTGAAGATAAGATGGTGTGAATTCAATGTTCTGTGCACCAGTCCAAGCTGCTTGGAGAAGTGCAGGATACCAGTGTGCTCCCACTGACGCTCTTTATGCCTTGAAAGTGTTTCTTTATGTATTGCCTGTGTCCCTCACTATCCACCCCACTTCTTCCCAGTGGGTCTCCTTATTTCTAGCACCCCCACTCTTCTAGTCTCCACCCACTTCCCATCAGCTAGTTCCTGTTTGCTGGGAAATATTAATGAGCTGGCCTGCAGAGAACACAGCAGGCGTGGAACTGTCTGCTGGGTTCATGAAATCACAGGCACAGTTGATCCCTGGGATGCAGCCATATGAGGGGGGCCCTGAGGCAAGGAGTCAAAGAGGGTCCCATCGCACACATGGAACATTAACTTCTGGACTTTTGCCTTCATAAATGTATCAAGCCTAATTCATAAGTGCCTCTTTTTGTGCTCCATGTCCACTTTAGACAGAAAGTAAATGTATCTGTACTATGATTTTTACTATGTCGGCCAACGTGTATTTAGTTATTTATTTGTACCTAATGTTTCTTTGGTCGGTTTTGTTGCCAGACCCCTGGCAATGGTTGGGAGTTAGAAAATGGTTCTAGTATTAGATTTCTTTGTCTTTCCGTACTGATAGTTTCCTTTGACTGTGGTTGGGAGAAGGGCTTTTTAGCTTTGGGAAAAAAAGATAAATAACAGAGAAATCCAATTCAAGTTACACCAGCTGATGGGGACCGAGAATCTGGAGGAAATGCTGCTACTCTGGCCAAACGCCAGATGCATCACTACCCTGGCAAACACACCAGATGCTATGCTGGTGCGTCTGCAGTGGTGGCGAACGCATGTCAGGAAACTGGCCCAAACAAGGTGGAGTTGTGAGGTAGATGGAGGTGACCACAGATTTATGCCATATCCTATACTCCTGTGGCCATGCCTCCATTGATGACACAACTTTACACCACCTCCAGACCTGGTGCAAGAAATTTCCTCCCCACTGATTTCAGTGAAAGGGGAAGACATGTAAAATAACTGCTCTCCCATCAACAAATGCTCCACGCACATTGCCATGGCAGAGCACAGAATATGATTGGACTCGGCGCTCACTCACAGCCTACCGCCACCAGTGTAAACTCATACAAGAATCTCACCTTGAGACTCCAGGCATAGACACCCAACAGCTACCTCCACTCCTACACCTGGAGATGTCAGGACAAAGCACCCCACACAGGTAAGCAAGGAAAGAGGGAAAGCATGCTTCAAGTACAGTACAACTGCTGCATCTGTCTCCTGTGTATTCCCCATCACACCCTTTCTCAGTCAAGGGCCACATTGCCTTAAGGGGAAATGGTTGGTGGCCCACCTATTGGTAGTAGACTGGCCAAAAATTAGTGGGTGACAAAAAAAAAAAATAGTTGGTGACACCACTTTTATCTCTCTTTCTGACATCTCTTTTTCTCTCTGTGGGTCCCTGTTTCTCCCCTTCACAATCCATTCATTTCTCTCACACAACAATCCCACCTACCCACTTCTGTGTATACAGGCATGCACCCCATTCATTCACCATCCATATATTCTCTCTTCTATTATCCCTCACAAACATGCACTATCTAACCAAACACCACACCCAACTATCCATCCATACACACAGCCAATCCATATACTTGCCCATTCATTCATTCATTCATTCATTCATTCATTGACACACACACATACATACACACATACACACACACACACACACACACACAGAGCGAGAGAGAGAGAGAGAGAGAGAGAGAGAGAGAGAGAGACCTAGGATCGAGTTATTTTCTGTTGCTCACCTCTGCACTTTCCTGGTTCACACTCCTAGCCAAACCCATTATCCATCATTATCTCCTCCTTTTTCGTTTTGGCTGGCCTTCCCCAGCCCACATTTCAGTCATTCATTCCCCTCTCTGCACCTTTCACCCATTGGTTTCTTCATTATTCCCCTACTTTGTTTTCTCCAGAGGGAAAGAGAGAAACTATCAAACAGGCAGACAGGAAAGCTTCCTGTACTCTGGTTCTCACACTCTGTGGTTGACCATCCAAGCTTGCAATCAGTTGGCTTGCCAGCCTGCCAATCAGTCTCTCCTCTCTCTCTCTCTCTCTCTCTCTCTCTCTCTCTCTCTCTCTCTTTCTCTCTCTCTCCTTGTCCACATTTGAGCATTCTAGATTCAGGTAGGTAGCCGTGTTGGTCTGACGCAGTTGAAATAAAAAATAAAAAGTAGCACCTTATAGACCAACTAAGATTGTTCTGGTATAAGCTTTTGTGTGCATGCACACTTCTTCAGATGCACTGAAACAGAAGTCACCAGACCCTTATATATAGTGGGAGTGTGGAGTGTGGTATTTCTCAAAAGGGTAGTAGGAGATGGGTGATTGGCTTAAACCATACCCATTGCACCCATTTTGTGTATGCACACGAAAGCTTAAAGCAGAACAAACTTAGTTGGTTTTAATTTTTTTTATTTTTTTTGACATTTGAGCATTGTTTAGTCCACTCCCCCCCCGCCATTTGAATTTGACTGGAGTAGTCCACTCAAGCACATATCTGAATTTGTATATGAGGAGCAACTTCTGTCTTTCTC